AAAAAAAAAAAAGCGAAGCAGTCGTCGGCGGGACTCGAACGCACGCCGCCGGCGCAAAAATGTATGGACGGGAGCCTTAGTCGGCTCAGCTACGCCGCTTACTCGAAAAAGATTCTAATGTTCTTCTTTACATGGGACATAGTTGCGTGACCCTAACTTTGTTTTGTAATTTCTCCTAAACGAAGGCCCATTGGCACAAACGCCTTTAGGGTTTTTATTAGCTACATGTAAGCTATCGAACGCACTATGACTCGTTGGAAAAGCGATTTCCTAATTGGCGTCATCTCCTTGTCAGTATCAATTGAAGAAGTAGCGCAGCAGCCAAGATTATAGACTAGAAACCTGAAGGTACCTGAAATTCTCGAGTTTGCTTCCGACCAGTACTGAGTAAATTTTCAAGTATAAAAATAGTTAGGAATCAAATAGAAGAGCTAAACTTCATTTAAAATCAATATAAATTGACAAGTTAAAGATATATCATATAAATTATTTCATTCCCAGATTAATTTTACACACACACACACACACACACACACACAGACACACAGACAGACACACACACACACAGCACACAGCACACAGACACACAGACACGCAGACACACAGACACACACACACACACACACACACACACACAGGGTGTTTCAAACCCCCCGTACTATCTATTTAAAATAAAGGGATCAACATTTTATTAAAAATTCAAAACATTTTTTCACTAAGTTGAGCACGCTCTATTAAATAGTGCTATATTCAACTTTCAGTATTGATCGGAAGTGGATTGTTTATACCGGAAATTTAGTTTTTTAAATGGAATACTATTTTTTTTGCAGATTCAGATTCTACGGTGAAAAAAAGAAAACTTATGTTTGAAACATTTTTTTCCGAAAATGTGTCCACTGATCTTGAAATGACATTGAAACTTTATCAGCTCTCTTAAGGGAGATTTCTACCTTGTTGGATCAAAAAAATTAATTTTTTTTACATATTCTTAAATATTGTACTTTCAAAAATATGTGGTAAAAATTTCAAGTCAAAATTCCAAAAATTGATCGAGTTACAGCCTGTTGAAAAGTCAGGTAGTCTTGCGGAGCGCTAGGGCGGAGCGCTGCGGCTTATATGCGTGTCGCCCTCTTTGCAGCTGCTCTATTATTCTTTTGTTATATTTCTACATGACCACCGTTAGGACGTTAGCCAGGTCATTTTCTTCATTTTTATTTCAGTATACTTCGAAACGTTGAAGTGGAAGGACGTTCTTCAAGTTTTCGATTATTTACAATTATTTTTTCGGTTTTGCATTATGTTCGTTAATACGAAAGGAAGTAAAGCAAGTAATGTGCGGCCTGGACATAAATGCAAGAGAAGAAAATTTTATGGAAATCGACATACAAATGAAACAGAGGTGTCGTTCGCTAGTACTTCCGCAAAAAAACTGAAGAATAAAGACGATTTTGAAATCACAATCGATGCCATGCATGGATATCGAATTATACACTTCTTGTTTGTTTTTAATATACTGAAAACTTTACTGAAATGTAAAAAATGTGACAGTGATGTAAATTTTTATGTGAGAGGAGAACAAGGTTTGGGATTTAAAATTGTTGTTGATTGCGATTGTGACTCAACTGAAATTGATTCTTGTCCCAAAATAAACAATAAATCGTTTGAAATAAATCGACGAATAGTTTTTGCAATGTGTCTCATTAGAGTTGGATTACAAGGTATCAATACTTTTTGTGGTTTGATGGACTTAGGTCAAGGACTAACGACCAATATTATGCATGCCTTGAAAACATCTGGACTGCCAGTTTATGATATTGTCATACTAAAGGCAGCATCAGAAGAGAAGGAAAAAAATACTGAAACAGGAAATGAACCTTTGCACTTAACTGTCTCGGGCGATGGAACATAGAGTAAAAGAGGCTATTCGTCATTGTTTGGAGTTGTCACGTTAATTGGAAAGTATTCAGATAAAGTTGTGGATTTGATCGTCAAGTCTACTTTTTGTCAGGCTTGCAATTATTGGCAAAAGAAAAACGATGAGGAATTTGAAGCGTGGTATGAAGACCATGAAGAACATTGCGTAAGCAATCACACTGAGAAAATGGAAGTGGATGGTGTGGTCGAAATATTTGCGAGATCTGAGACACTTCATAAAGTCAAATATATTAATTATATCGGTGATGGTGACACAAAAACATTCAAGGCGCTCTTAGACAGTAAGCCGTATGGAGATGAACTTCCAATTACAAAAAAAGAGTGCATTGGACATGTAAAAAAACGTATGGATTCTCGACTGAGAGCCGCTAAGAAAAACAATAAAGGACTTGGTGATAAGGGTCCTGGAAAATTAACTGATGCCTCAATAAATGACTTATCGACATACTACGGTTTAGCAATAGTCCGTAATTCTGATTCTGTCGATGCTATGAAAGATGCAATATGGGCTACTTTTTATCACAAGTGCTCGACGGATGAGAATCCACAACACGATAAGTGTCCGCCCGATGAATCATCATGGTGTAAATGGAAACAAGCCGAAGCTAATAACGTTTTGTTAGAATATAAACATCCAGCTCCACTTACGTCACAGGTCCAAGAAGTCATTC